ACCTACATCTGTGTACGTCTGGACTGGTGAGATGTAATTTCTGCACAACCCTCACATTCCTCAGTCTATTCATGCCTTTATAACTATGATTATTATCATTCCCATGGGTTTTGAGTGGAACAAAGAGGGTTTCAGCAGCACATCTCCATTTCATCATGTTCTCTGCAGGTCTATTTGCCTGGCTTCATGATTACTTAGAAACTGTAGTCTCCTCACACAATCTCTTCCGTACCACCCTCTCGGACCAACGCCCAACTCGTCGTTTACTTTCCTAGTTCCACTCGAGACTTTGTCTGAAGCGTAATGTCTTCCAACGATTTTCTCAGCATGTATCTGACCCACTTCCATTTCCTTCGGCATATTTCCTGAGTAGAGGGTTGTTGGTCGGCAGACTTCCTTGTTGCTAATCCTTCATCAGCCGGCCGACTGAACTCCAATATGTCATCAGCGAAGTAGGTGGAGCTGTGGATAAAAGTCTGAAGTGGCCTGTTGACAATGCTTTTCGTGACATGCAAACTCCAAGTCTCTGAACACAAATAGGCTAACTGACTGACTGACTGACTTGGCATTAGTTTTGCAAATCCAAATCCCGTCGTTGATGCTTAGTGTAGTAGATTTGCTCATCACTGATTTCAAAGTGTGAAGGTCTGTCTTGCCTTTCCAATTCTGCTTGACTTTAGCATCTTCGACCGTGATGTCTGTGGTTGAATCGACGATGCTCAGAAAAGTGAAAGAAATGACTGAGTCGATTAATGTTACCTCAACTCAACTGACTGGTAGGCAGTGTTCATTGTAGGGCAGACTGTGATATTCTCGCGATTCTGTTCATAACACTGTCACTAGGTCCTTCCGAGGATTATTCCAAGCCACCTATAGCACCCACCTCGTAGCCATCCGAAAGTTGACAGACTTGTTAGCATTCTTCTCCATCAAAAAATACACTCGTGGTATTTCGCAGTCTAGGTTGTCGTTTTTCTCTTCCCATTTGGATCCGAAATGTCACTTAAGCAACCAATGTGTGAAGTGGATGTTGTCGGAAGTGCCAGTATTGACAGCTCATATCAAATACTGGGACAGTGGAAGTGTTAAATCGATCTGTCGCCCTTCGTCTGCGCTTAATTACACACATCCACGTGGGCATTAAGGGATGTGATGACAAAGGCTCCAGAAGATTACTAATGTGTGTCATTTCCTTTTGCAGAAGAGGCAAACTATTGCTCCTGCAGAACAGTCAAAGTCTAGGAGATATCACTGGACTCATTTCATTTAGGTGCCGATCAAAATATGTCAGATAACACTGTGACTAAAATTTCAACTGTTGGTTTTCACTATCAACTATTGAAAATTGAAAGTTGGCTGTTTGAATCATCCCTGGTTGAAGGCGGCAATCTACTCATCACTTTGACTGTGGCGTGGTAAGTGCTATTATTCTCCCTAACCAGTTTGCCTGCTAGATGCGTGCTAAATGGAGGAAAAAGAGGATGAGGAGGTTGAAACGCAAGAGGAGGAAAATGAGGGAAAGGAGCAAGTAATCAGACTGTCTTCTGAAACCTCTGTACTTCTGTGGGATGTCAAATAAACCTTTCTCACACTGACGTCTTCTTTGTGCTTTGAATAGTGGGGAGCGTGACTAGTCTTGACCGTTGTATATGACACTTTGTAAACCAATAAACTATCTAACTGACTGCGACTTCTGAGTTGTTTGTATTAGTAGAGAGGTCATATATCTCGTCGTTCTTACTGTAGGCGGAGGAACCAGAAGAAGAGGTTGAATATTTGGATGAAGACGTGGAGTGGATTGCAGATGAAGATCGGCCAGTGGACAACTCTGATGAATCGGCTAACGGTGAGTGGTGATGTCGACTTGAGAATATTTTTATTTGGGTCACTTTATGTACTGTAGTAGATGTGTCAGGGTCTCGGATAATTCTATGCGTTGGGAGCTTGGCGTTGTAGATGTGGTTGGTATTGTCTGCTTAGATATAGAATCCTCATTCGTCAGAGGATATTTCCGTGTGGAGTTCGTTGAGAGCTTATCACTATTTGAGGGAGATGGTGTAGCAGGAGCAAAGAGCTTTCAGGATCCTCTCATAGGTGGAATGGATCTAGGCGTAAGGTGATGCCATGCAAGACACATGTTTTCTGCATGTCTTGGGATGTCGAGATACACAGGTGTCGTCGTAGTTTATCAGGGAGCGGCTACACTTCAGTGTGTCGTACATGTGTGTGAGCGCAATGCTGTAGTCTCGATGAGCATCGTCTCGTCGAGACCATTGCTTTCTAGTGAGTGGCTGAGATCTGGTGTCCCGTGGGTCAACAGAATCACATGTGTCTGGTGGTTATTGTAACGAGACCGTTAGCTTGGTCGTTCTGGAGTGCGTGTAAGTACATCATATGGCAGTCATCATCATTGTTAGGCGTGTAGTTGTCGTTAGAACGTGATTCTCGATTTGACAAGGCATAAGGTCGACTGTCCAACTCCTGGTGAGGTCTTCATCGTTATAGGTCACACGAAACAGGTGGAGATGTCTCCCTTCTCTGTAAGACATCCGATGTCCATTGTGGCCTTTGCTTGAGATTCGAGTGCTGCTGGCATGACACTACATCGCCGTGCTTCATTTGAGATTGTCGGTGTTATGGGCAATTTCATGAGATATATACTGGACAGCAGGGACTGAATGAACTGATGGAAATGCAGATCGGACTGAATGGTATAGAATTGGAGACTGGCTGGTGATAAAGCAGGTGTTGAGTGAAACCAGTGTCTCTGTCCATCATGGTTGTATGGGATGTCAAGTGGGTGACAGATAGTTGTTTGATGAGCAGGATTGAGCTGCAATTTTGGTTATCCTCCATCATCAGGGCATAGACAGTTCACAGTATGCATGTCACTGATATTTTAACAAGCGGAGACACCAAACTCTGAGTCGACATTGGGAATCACGCCTCTGATATCCGGAAATCTCCTCAAGGATTACTATCTGGAGGTATGTTGAGATTTACTGGACTGCGAATAACAATGTGTCTGGTTGAAGGTGTCCGAGAGTAGGGAGCACAGTGGTATATAGGGTAGGGATTGCAGACAGACTGCGTGAATCTAATGGTTGTATACCGACCTTCTAGTGGTGTGAATCTGTCTCTACGAGCAATGTTATCCAACCCTGGAGAAGGTCGGAAGTGAGCTAGTGGTGATCAAACCAAAACTTCGCATCAATTGAAGAAATCCTTGGCTGTCAGTTTGAACCTTGTATGTGGGAATGGCCTTTCTGGTTGACACACTCTGGATACTAAGAACCAATGGCATGAGACTGTCTGTAATGTGGCTTATATGCAATCTCCGGTCTCTGTCCACGATATGATTAAGGAGAGGATATTCAAACTTGTAAGTCTTTGCCCATAGGATAAATCAGTGATACCATGAATCGTGCGTGTGGCCTTCGTTCGAACATCCTTCTAGAAGCCCTTCTTTAAACAAGGGTTAGTTGCCTGGTTATAGTCTTCTAATGCTGACCTCACCAGAGATGTACATTAAGTGGGGAAAGTTTCCATGGTGATTCAGGTGACGGCCTTTTGTATGTGGCGCATATGGATTTGAAACTTTAGAATGCCAACGCGTGAGTGTGTCTGAGTTTTTAGGTCATGATTTATTATGACACCTACATCTGTGTACGTCTGGACTGGTGAGATGTAATTTCTGCACAACCCTCACATTCCTCAGTCTATTCATGCCTTTATAACTATGATTATTATCATTCCCATGGGTTTTGAGTGGAACAAAGAGGGTTTCAGCAGCACATCTCCATTTCATCATGTTCTCTGCAGGTCTATTTGCCTGGCTTCATGATTACTTAGAAACTGTAGTCTCCTCACACAATCTCTTCCGTACCACCCTCTCGGACCAACGCCCAACTCGTCGTTTACTTTCCTAGTTCCACTCGAGACTTTGTCTGAAGCGTAATGTCTTCCAACGATTTTCTCAGCATGTATCTGACCCACTTCCATTTCCTTCGGCATATTTCCTGAGTAGAGGGTTGTTGGTCGGCAGACTTCCTTGTTGCTAATCCTTCATCAGCCGGCCGACTGAACTCCAATATGTCATCAGCGAAGTAGGTGGAGCTGTGGATAAAAGTCTGAAGTGGCCTGTTGACAATGCTTTTCGTGACATGCAAACTCCAAGTCTCTGAACACAAATAGGCTAACTGACTGACTGACTGACTTGGCATTAGTTTTGCAAATCCAAATCCCGTCGTTGATGCTTAGTGTAGTAGATTTGCTCATCACTGATTTCAAAGTGTGAAGGTCTGTCTTGCCTTTCCAATTCTGCTTGACTTTAGCATCTTCGACCGTGCTGTCTGTGGTTGAATCGACGATGCTCAGAAAAGTGAAAGAAATGACTGAGTCGATTAATGTTACCTCAACTCAACTGACTGGTAGGCAGTGTTTATTGAAGGGCAAACTGTGATATTCTCGCGATTCTGTTCGTAACATTGTCACTAGGTCCTTCCGAGGATTATTCCAAGCCACCTATAGCACCCACCTCGTAGCCATCCGAAAGTTGACAGACTTGTTAGCATTCTTCTCCATCAAAAAATACACTCGTGGTATTTCGCAGTCTAGGTTGTCGTTTTTCTCTTTCCATTTGGATCCGAAATGTCACTTAAGCAACCAACGTGTGAAGTGGATGTTGTCGGAAGTGCCAGTATTGACAGCTCATATCAAATACTGGGACAGTGGAAGTGTTAAATCGATCTGTCGCCCTTCGTCTGCGCTTAACTACACACATCCACGTGGGCATTAAGGGATGTGATGACAAAGGCTCCAGAAGATTACTAATGTGTGTCATTTCCTTTTGCAGAAGAGGCAAACTATTGCTCCTGCAGAACAGTCAAAGTCTAGGAGATATCACTGGACTCATTTCATTTAGGTGCCGATCAAAATGTGTCAGATAACACTGTGACTAAAATTTCAACTGTTGGTTTTCACTATCAACTATTGAAAATTGAAAGTTGGCTGTTTGAATCATCCCTGGTTGAAGGCGGCAATCTACTCATCACTTTGACTGTGGCGTGGTAAGTGCTATTATTCTCCCTAACCAGTTTGCCTGCTAGATGCGTGCTAAATGGAGGAAAAAGAGGATGAGGAGGTTGAAACGCAAGAGGAGGAAAATGAGGGAAAGGAGCAAGTAATCAGACTGTCTTCTGAAACCTCTGTACTTCTGTGGGATGTCAAATAAACCTTTCTCACACTGACGTCTTCTTTGTGCTTTGAATAGTGGGGAGCGTGACTAGTCTTGACCGTTGTATATGACACTTTGTAAACCAATAAACTATCTAACTGACTGCGACTTCTGAGTTGTTTGTATTAGTAGAGAGGTCATATATCTCGTCGTTCTTACTGTAGGCGGAGGAACCAGAAGAAGAGGTTGAATATTTGGATGAAGACGTGGAGTGGATTGCAGATGAAGATCGGCCAGTGGACAACTCTGATGAATCGGCTAACGGTGAGTGGTGATGTCGACTTGAGAATATTTTTATTTGGGTCACTTTATGTACTGTAGTAGATGTGTCAGGGTCTCGGATAATTCTATGCGTTGGGAGCTTGGCGTTGTAGATGTGGTTGGTATTGTCTGCTTAGATATAGAATCCTCATTCGTCAGAGGATATTTCCGTGTGGAGTTCGTTGAGAGCTTATCACTATTTGAGGGAGATGGTGTAGCAGGAGCAAAGAGCTTTCAGGATCCTCTCATAGGTGGAATGGATCTAGGCGTAAGGTGATGCCATGCAAGACACATGTTTTCTGCATGTCTTGGGATGTCGAGATACACAGGTGTCGTCGTAGTTTATCAGGGAGCGGCTACACTTCAGTGTGTCGTACATGTGTGTGAGCGCAATGCTGTAGTCTCGATGAGCATCGTCTCGTCGAGACCATTGCTTTCTAGTGAGTGGCTGAGATCTGGTGTCCCGTGGGTCAACAGAATCACATGTGTCTGGTGGTTATTGTAACGAGACCGTTAGCTTGGTCGTTCTGGAGTGCGTGTAAGTACATCATATGGCAGTCATCATCATTGTTAGGCGTGTAGTTGTCGTTAGAACGTGATTCTCGATTTGACAAGGCATAAGGTCGACTGTCCAACTCCTGGTGAGGTCTTCATCGTTATAGGTCACACGAAACAGGTGGAGATGTCTCCCTTCTCTGTAAGACATCCGATGTCCATTGTGGCCTTTGCTTGAGATTCGAGTGCTGCTGGCATGACACTACATCGCCGTGCTTCATTTGAGATTGTCGGTGTTATGGGCAATTTCATGAGATATATACTGGACAGCAGGGACTGAATGAACTGATGGAAATGCAGATCGGACTGAATGGTATAGAATTGGAGACTGGCTGGTGATAAAGCAGGTGTTGAGTGAAACCAGTGTCTCTGTCCATCATGGTTGTATGGGATGTCAAGTGGGTGACAGATAGTTGTTTGATGAGCAGGATTGAGCTGCAATTTTGGTTATCCTCCATCATCAGGGCATAGACAGTTCACAGTATGCATGTCACTGATATTTTAACAAGCGGAGACACCAAACTCTGAGTCGACATTGGGAATCACGCCTCTGATATCCGGAAATCTCCTCAAGGATTACTATCTGGAGGTATGTTGAGATTTACTGGACTGCGAATAACAATGTGTCTGGTTGAAGGTGTCCGAGAGTAGGGAGCACAGTGGTATATAGGGTAGGGATTGCAGACAGACTGCGTGAATCTAATGGTTGTATACCGACCTTCTAGTGGTGTGAATCTGTCTCTACGAGCAATGTTATCCAACCCTGGAGAAGGTCGGAAGTGAGCTAGTGGTGATCAAACCAAAACTTCGCATCAATTGAAGAAATCCTTGGCTGTCAGTTTGAACCTTGTATGTGGGAATGGCCTTTCTGGTTGACACACTCTGGATACTAAGAACCAATGGCATGAGACTGTCTGTAATGTGGCTTATATGCAATCTCCGGTCTCTGTCCACGATATGATTAAGGAGAGGATATTCAAACTTGTAAGTCTTTGCCCATAGGATAAATCAGTGATACCATGAATCGTGCGTGTGGCCTTCGTTCGAACATCCTTCTAGAAGCCCTTCTTTAAACAAGGGTTAGTTGCCTGGTTATAGTCTTCTAATGCTGACCTCACCAGAGATGTACATTAAGTGGGGAAAGTTTCCATGGTGATTCAGGTGACGGCCTTTTGTATGTGGCGCATATGGATTTGAAACTTTAGAATGCCAACGCGTGAGTGTGTCTGAGTTTTTAGGTCATGATTTATTATGACACCTACATCTGTGTACGTCTGGACTGGTGAGATGTAATTTCTGCACAACCCTCACATTCCTCAGTCTATTCATGCCTTTATAACTATGATTATTATCATTCCCATGGGTTTTGAGTGGAACAAAGAGGGTTTCAGCAGCACATCTCCATTTCATCATGTTCTCTGCAGGTCTATTTGCCTGGCTTCATGATTACTTAGAAACTGTAGTCTCCTCACACAATCTCTTCCGTACCACCCTCTCGGACCAACGCCCAACTCGTCGTTTACTTTCCTAGTTCCACTCGAGACTTTGTCTGAAGCGTAATGTCTTCCAACGATTTTCTCAGCATGTATCTGACCCACTTCCATTTCCTTCGGCATATTTCCTGAGTAGAGGGTTGTTGGTCGGCAGACTTCCTTGTTGCTAATCCTTCATCAGCCGGCCGACTGAACTCCAATATGTCATCAGCGAAGTAGGTGGAGCTGTGGATAAAAGTCTGAAGTGGCCTGTTGACAATGCTTTTCGTGACATGCAAACTCCAAGTCTCTGAACACAAATAGGCTAACTGACTGACTGACTGACTTGGCATTAGTTTTGCAAATCCAAATCCCGTCGTTGATGCTTAGTGTAGTAGATTTGCTCATCACTGATTTCAAAGTGTGAAGGTCTGTCTTGCCTTTCCAATTCTGCTTGACTTTAGCATCTTCGACCGTGCTGTCTGTGGTTGAATCGACGATGCTCAGAAAAGTGAAAGAAATGACTGAGTCGATTAATGTTACCTCAACTCAACTGACTGGTAGGCAGTGTTTATTGAAGGGCAAACTGTGATATTCTCGCGATTCTGTTCGTAACATTGTCACTAGGTCCTTCCGAGGATTATTCCAAGCCACCTATAGCACCCACCTCGTAGCCATCCGAAAGTTGACAGACTTGTTAGCATTCTTCTCCATCAAAAAATACACTCGTGGTATTTCGCAGTCTAGGTTGTCGTTTTTCTCTTTCCATTTGGATCCGAAATGTCACTTAAGCAACCAACGTGTGAAGTGGATGTTGTCGGAAGTGCCAGTATTGACAGCTCATATCAAATACTGGGACAGTGGAAGTGTTAAATCGATCTGTCGCCCTTCGTCTGCGCTTAACTACACACATCCACGTGGGCATTAAGGGATGTGATGACAAAGGCTCCAGAAGATTACTAATGTGTGTCATTTCCTTTTGCAGAAGAGGCAAACTATTGCTCCTGCAGAACAGTCAAAGTCTAGGAGATATCACTGGACTCATTTCATTTAGGTGCCGATCAAAATGTGTCAGATAACACTGTGACTAAAATTTCAACTGTTGGTTTTCACTATCAACTATTGAAAATTGAAAGTTGGCTGTTTGAATCATCCCTGGTTGAAGGCGGCAATCTACTCATCACTTTGACTGTGGCGTGGTAAGTGCTATTATTCTCCCTAACCAGTTTGCCTGCTAGATGCGTGCTAAATGGAGGAAAAAGAGGATGAGGAGGTTGAAACGCAAGAGGAGGAAAATGAGGGAAAGGAGCAAGTAATCAGACTGTCTTCTGAAACCTCTGTACTTCTGTGGAATGTCAAATAAACCTTTCTCACACTGACGTCTTCTTTGTGCTTTGAATAGTGGGGAGCGTGACTAGTCTTGACCGTTGTATATGACACTTTGTAAACCAATAAACTATCTAACTGACTGCGACTTCTGAGTTGTTTGTATTAGTAGAGAGGTCATATATCTCGTCGTTCTTACTGTAGGCGGAGGAACCAGAAGAAGAGGTTGAATATTTGGATGAAGACGTGGAGTGGATTGCAGATGAAGATCGGCCAGTGGACAACTCTGATGAATCGGCTAACGGTGAGTGGTGATGTCGACTTGAGAATATTTTTATTTGGGTCACTTTATGTACTGTAGTAGATGTGTCAGGGTCTCGGATAATTCTATGCGTTGGGAGCTTGGCGTTGTAGATGTGGTTGGTATTGGCTGCTTAGATATAGAATCCTCATTCGTCAGAGGATATTTCCGTGTGGAGTTCGTTGAGAGCTTATCACTATTTGAGGGAGATGGTGTAGCAGGAGCAAAGAGCTTTCAGGATCCTCTCATAGGTGGAATGGATCTAGGCGTAAGGTGATGCCATGCAAGACACATGTTTTCTGCATGTCTTGGGATGTCGAGATACACAGGTGTCGTCGTAGTTTATCAGGGAGCGGCTACACTTCAGTGTGTCGTACATGTGTGTGAGCGCAATGCTGTAGTCTCGATGAGCATCGTCTCGTCGAGACCATTGCTTTCTAGTGAGTGGCTGAGATCTGGTGTCCCGTGGGTCAACAGAATCACATGTGTCTGGTGGTTATTGTAACGAGACCGTTAGCTTGGTCGTTCTGGAGTGCGTGTAAGTACATCATATGGCAGTCATCATCATTGTTAGGCGTGTAGTTGTCGTTAGAACGTGATTCTCGATTTGACAAGGCATAAGGTCGACTGTCCAACTCCTGGTGAGGTCTTCATCGTTATAGGTCACACGAAACAGGTGGAGATGTCTCCCTTCTCTGTAAGACATCCGATGTCCATTGTGGCCTTTGCTTGAGATTCGAGTGCTGCTGGCATGACACTACATCGCCGTGCTTCATTTGAGATTGTCGGTGTTATGGGCAATTTCATGAGATATATACTGGACAGCAGGGACTGAATGAACTGATGGAAATGCAGATCGGACTGAATGGTATAGAATTGGAGACTGGCTGGTGATAAAGCAGGTGTTGAGTGAAACCAGTGTCTCTGTCCATCATGGTTGTATGGGATGTCAAGTGGGTGACAGATAGTTGTTTGATGAGCAGGATTGAGCTGCAATTTTGGTTATCCTCCATCATCAGGGCATAGACAGTTCACAGTATGCATGTCACTGATATTTTAACAAGCGGAGACACCAAACTCTGAGTCGACATTGGGAATCACGCCTCTGATATCCGGAAATCTCCTCAAGGATTACTATCTGGAGGTATGTTGAGATTTACTGGACTGCGAATAACAATGTGTCTGGTTGAAGGTGTCCGAGAGTAGGGAGCACAGTGGTATATAGGGTAGGGATTGCAGACAGACTGCGTGAATCTAATGGTTGTATACCGACCTTCTAGTGGTGTGAATCTGTCTCTACGAGCAATGTTATCCAACCCTGGAGAAGGTCGGAAGTGAGCTAGTGGTGA